CCACAAGTGAACGGCACTTTGGCACGACACCTTTTGCTTTTTGCCGCACAACACCTCTTCGGCTAGGCCTTTTGGTTGAGACCAGGGGTAATTTTTAATTACCGGGCCACAAGGCCTAGCCATTGTAAACACTTTGGCACTCTAATTGATTTTTCTCACTGTTTGTGCACCTTTACACTTTTTTTTTAATGTTTTTTCACTCCACAGGAATGAGGGTGTGGGTCTTCTGGCCTACCCTGAAGTCTAGGGGGAGGATGTGTGGCCCTCAGGTTCCTTCCTCCCCTGTCATCGGGGGTCTCATATCAGGGGAGCTGCCAACCGAGTACTCAGTGGTTGGCTTTGGTTGACCATGAGGAATGGGTCCGCCTGGTTTCGACCAGGTGGACACGAGTGCCTTGACCCTGTCAGGAACCTTGCGCCCCGGGGGTTCAGGGATGGGCCCTGTCTCTTCGGGAGATGGACCCATTAGACAGCATCCTTGCTGTGCACTTTTTTGGTTCACTTGTTGGGTGTTTCAAGCATGCTCCTCTGATCCTGATATTAACACACTTCCTGTCCTAGGGTGACAACGCTCACTCACTGTACTAAATCCAGGTAAATGGTGCCAGGAAGGTGACTCTGCAGTATCTACCGCGGCAGACTCTGTAAAGTTTGGCAGTCTGCTCACTCCTGACACAATAAATATGCCACAAAGAATTATTAGGCTGCCTAAGTGTGTCTCATGCCAGGGTTGTGGGATAATTGCTTTGTTATGCAAAACAGCGGAGCCGAGCCATACTGACAGGCGTCACGGCTGCTCCCTCTCAATGGAGCTCATTAAACCGCTAAATTAATTTGACATTAGAGAGATGAAAGCCATTCATTCTGCCCCGTACCCAAAATAAAGTTCCTGCACAGTCTGAGATCTGTATCAGGTTATATTTCAGTACAGTATTTGCTGTTGTTTTTTGTCAACTCGACAGATTTGTATTGCGCGCCTTCGTTACTTTCTTGCAAGTCTTTTGAGATCTGATTGTTTTGGTACTTTTTCTTTTATATTGATCAGATTCCCTTTCTTGTATGCGAGGGATCAGAAAGGGACGTATATCCAGGGCATACAATCGGCTTCCTCAGGCGCCCGCAACTTCCCCACAAGGACACCGCTGCCGCCCTCTGCGCCCAGAGTAGGGTTGCCACCTGTCCAGGATTCCCCTGGACAGTCTGGGTTTTGAATGCTGTGTCCATTGTTCATGGCAGCAGAACCTTGGACACAAGATGTCAGGCAGGGGCAACCAAGATTAAGATAGGGGCTACTGGCCTCGCACTGAAAATAGTCCTGACTGTGATATCTACATATGAATGGGTGATGCTATTTACATATGAATAAGCCGCAGCTCATTGTCCCCAAAAAAATTCCGCGTGCGCTACAGTGTTCGGGTTTAGCTGGAAGAAAAGGTGGCAAACCTAGCCCCGAGGGCGGGCCTCAGTGGCCTTGTGGGAAATCCGTGCCTGCGTATATCATAGTCTTTTCTTCTCTTTCTTTAGTTTTTCTGGTCCTAATTCTTCTATATAGAACTTTAGTTATCACTAGAGGGATCTCCAGAAGGAGGAAGGAGGTCCTGATTCCCCTATATAGATCTTTAATATCACTAGAGGGATCCCCAGCAGGAGGAAGGAGGTCCTGATTCCTCTATATAGATCTTTATTATCACTAGAGGCATCTCCAGCAGGAGGACAGAGGTCCTGATTCCTCTATATAGATCTTTATTATCACTAGAGGCATCTCCAGCAGGAGGACAGAGGTCCTGATTCCTCTATATAGATCTTTATTATCACTAGAGGCATCTCCAGCAGGAGGACAGAGGTCCTGATTCCTCTATATAGATCTTTATTATCACTAGAGGCATCTCCAGCAGGAGGACAGAGGTCCTGATTCCTCTATATAGATCTTTATTATCACTAGAGGCATCTCCAGCAGGAGGACAGAGGTCCTGATTCCTCTATATAGATCTTTATTATCACTAAAGGGATCTCCAGCAGGAGGAAGGAGGTCCTGATTCCTCTATATTGATCTTTATTATCATTAGAGGGATCCCCAGCAGGAGAAAGGAATATGTAGGTAGGTGCAGTATGGCCAACGGCCACTAGATGCCCCCATGGGGCCCTGGAGATAGATGCAGCTCTGGCCTGGGGAGACTGTGTGTCCCAGGAGAGTTGATTTATAGGGGGCGCCCGAGAGGGGAAGAGAGTTGAGTTCAGGAGAAGCGTACAGGAGAGCAGAAGTCTAAGACTGTTTGCAGAGTCTCTGGAGAGAGACTGATTCTGAACATAGGCTGGTCCATGGGAAGGACAGGACCAGACCTAGGACTATGTAGAGCTGCAAAGATTCCCTAGTTTCCCCAGAGGGGAAACCCATCGAGCTAGGACTGACAAGGATGGGATTCCGGAACGTAGTGAGAAGCTGTAAGACTGACGATATTTGCCAGTGGGCCTCTGGCAGAATTAAGTCGTGGACTCTGGGCTGCACCTGGGCTGATGTACCTCTCTTTCTCTAAATTGTAACACTATGCAACTATCAAGAATTGTGCCGTCATACCACCCGGGGGTGGCTGAACGTATACTTTGTCCTGTTAATACCTTCAAGTAAAACCAACAAAAAGACTATCTGTGTGGACTGGTTCTTCTCCCTCCAACCTCTGAGAAGGTTCTACAGGAGTGTGATGTTGGACGGTATCGTGGCTGTAACCATCCGGAAGAGGGTAGGTGTGCAATGGGGCTATGCCCGACACAGGGTGCCGTTCATGGTGGCCTTTCTCCCTAAGGGGGAGGAAGCGCTGAGTCCCGCAGAGGCGGTGGAAGCCATGAGGCCCGGTGTGCGCAGTACTACACGTGTGGAGTGTTTGCACGAGGCCAAGGCCGTGGCCCCTGACTGTGGGGTGCCTGGTGTCGTGTTGCAGACACGGGGTTACACAGCCAACCCAAAGGGAACACGCACGCAACACCCCGAGAGTGAACCCCGCCTACAGACGGGTCACCAGCAGGAGGAAGGAGGTTCTGATCCCTCTATATAGATCTTTAGTTATCACTAGAGGGATCCCCAGCAGGAGGAAGGAGGTCCTAATCACTCTACATAGATCTTTATATATCACTAGAGGGACCCCCAGCAGGAGGAAGGAGGTCCTGATTCCTCTATATAGATCTCTATCACTAGAGGGACCCCCAGCAGGAGGAAGGAGGTCCTGATTCCTCTATATAGATCTTTATATATCACTAGAGGGACCCCCAGCAGGAGGAAGGAGGTCCTTATTCCTCTATATAGATCTCTATCACTAGAGGGACCCCCAGCAGGAGGAAGGAGGTCCTGATTCCTCTATATAGATCTTTATATATCACTAGAGGGACCCCCAGCAGGAGGAAGGAGGTCCTGATTCCTCTATATAGATCTTTATCTATCACTAGAGGGACCCCCAGCAGGAGGAAGGAGGTCCTGATTCCTCTATATAGATCTCTATCACTAGAGGGACCCCCAGCAGGAGGAAGGAGGTCCTGATTCCTCTATATAGATCTTTATATATCACTAGAGGGACCCCCAGCAGGAGGAAGGAGGTCCTGATTCCTCTATATAGATCTTTAGTTATCACTAGAGGGATCCCCAGCAGGAGGAAGGAGGTCCTGATTCCTCTATATAGATCTTTAGTTATCACTAGAGGGATCCCCAGCAGGAGGAAGGAGGTCCTGATTCCTCTATATAGATCTTTAGTTATCACTAGAGGGGTCCCCAGCAGGAGGAAGGAGGTCCTGATTCCTCTATATAGATCTTTATTATCACTAGAGGGATCCCCAGCAGGAGGAAGGAGGTCCTGATTCCTCTATATAGATCTTTATTATCACTAGAGGGATCCCCAGCAGGAGGGAGGTCCTGATTCCTCTACATAGATCTTTAGTTATCACTAGAGGGATCCCCAGCAGGAGGAAGGAGGTCCTAATCACTCTACATAGATCTTTATATATCACTAGAGGGACCCCCAGCAGGAGGAAGGAGGTCCTAATCACTCTACATAGATCTTTATATATCACTAGAGGGATCCCCAGCAGGAGGAAGGAGGTCCTGATTCCTCTATATAGATCTTTATATATCACTAGAGGGACCCCCAGCAGGAGGTCCTGATTCCTCTATATAGATCTCTATCACTAGAGGGACCCCCAGCAGGAGGAAGGAGGTCCTGATTCCTCTATATAGATCTTTATATATCACTAGAGGGACCCCCAGCAGGAGGAAGGAGGTCCTGATTCCTCTATATAGATCTTTAGTTATCACTAGACGGGTGCCCAGCAGGAGGAAGAATGTATTATATTGCCTAAAGACTAGTCGATGCTTGTAACAGACTTCTGGCAAAAGTTGTGAGCCATCCAACAGTAAGTGAGTTTAAACACGTTGGGGATGAACATAAAGCAGGTCTATACTCAGACAAAAAGTTTAAAAAAAAGCCAAAAATGAACACCCCCAACCCCCCCCAAAAAAACCCAATGACAGATTTGATGGACCTGATGGACTTTTTCTGCTGCCTCTCTCCTATGTCTGTATGTACAGCAGAGCTTCAAAGCAAGCAGCCTCTGCTATACTCGCTCTTCAGCTTGCACATAGTGCTATGTGTAGTAGTGGTCAGCACTGTATGGTTGCTGATCCTAATTTTGGGGTGTCTGGTGAAGGAATTTTATAAGGTAGCCCATGACTTGAATTGACGGCCACTTACACCTGTGATGAAGCAATGCAGACAACCTGAAGCTACTATTGCCTAATCAGAGTGCAGGACCAGGGAGCAATCCCTGCAGATAACTATCTCTGGACTGGTGATAAAGAGGTAAGTACGAATCGAATCTGTATTCCATCCCTCAAGTCAATCAATAGACCTCATACTGATCCTGTAACTTCAATGGACCTCATACTGATCTCCTATGGCTCTTCTTCATTGATGAGAGTGAACAATTCCATCCACATCTAGGACCCCTCTGGCTCTTACTTGTTGTAAAGGACAATGTCCGGAATCCATATCATCTCTGAAGGAACGCGGATGGACGTGACGTTATCATAATCGGCGGGGTTCCACTGGAGCTTGTAGTCATTCCATTCCTAAAAAAACAGTAGAAGGACAATCAATGGCTTGTGGAACCCGCTTTCACCATTTTTTTCACATTAGTTTGTTAGTAAGAATTCCAAGTGACTGGAAAGGCCTCATTATAGTCACTGAACTAATGGAACACTTACCTTTAAACCGGGAAATTCTCTGTATTAAATTGAACCTGAAACCAGAACTTATTTTTTCTAGTTTTGGATGTATGGAGAGGGATTAGAACCCATGTCAAGTTTTTATTGTGGTCTGTGTCCCTGTTAGAGAGATTCACCCGCTCTACTTACTCTGCTATCACTGAAAGTGAATGAAAATTCTAAACTTTGGTTTGTCACCACAACAGGAAGAGATGGGAAATCTTTTAAGGAGACACTAGTTCTGGTGACCACCAGGCATTTCCCTCCCTTTGAGGAATTTTCTCTTACTTCCAGTTGCGGCTATCTGACAAGAAGCGAAGGAAAATCTCCCCAATGAGACACAGGTGACAAAGTTAACCCTTTACCCGATCCAAAACTAAAACAAAAGTGTTGGCTTTAGTTTTACTTTAACCTTTTAGAGGCCTTACCGGAAGCATTACATGGGTTCGCAATCGCATTGATACTGTGGCTGGCTGTCACTGTGATCACATGATCATTGTTAGTGACCTGGAGCTGTCGTTGGTCACAGTGCTGAGGGGGCCGAGGGGCAGCCAGAAGAGGCTGCTTTGGGTGCAGGAGAAGGGTTCAAGAGGGCAGAACGGATATCTATGATGCTAATGTAGTGCACATCTCATTAGGGGATGCTTTGGTTTTTTCTTAAACACCTTATCCTGCTACTGCTCAGAGATCAAGGTTCTAATGGTATCTTGATCATAGACATATGAGGGAGAAGAGCTGAGACGTTTCCTCTGTAAACTTCTCACTCACCACATCTCTTATGTTGGACACCTGCGGTTTCTTTCTCAAGGCTGATCACTTTACTTTCAGCAGCCAGCATCCAACCCCTAGCCCAAGGGAAAGAGACAGCAAAATGCCACCCCCCTAGGGCCTAAGCCCAGAGGAGAGAGGAAGCACCATGTTATCCCCTCAGAGCCTAAGCCCACAAGAGAAAAACAGCACCACACCATCCCCCTAAGGTCTGAGCCCAGGGGAGAGAGGAAGCACCATGTTATTCCCTTAGAGCCTAAGCCCACAAGAGAAAAACAGCACCACACCATCCCCCTAAGGTCTGAGCCCAGGGGAGAGAGACAGCACCATGACATCCGCCTAGAGCCTAACCCTAGAGAAGAGGGACAACACCATGCCTCTACCCTAGGTCCTAAGCCCACAGGAGAGACACAGCACCATGTCATTCCCCTAAGGCCTGGGGCCAGGAGAGAGAAACAGTACCATGTCTTCACCCTAGGGCCTGAGCCCGGGGAACAGAGACATCGACATGCCATCGCCCTACGGCCTGAGCCCAGGGGAGAGAGACAGGACTATGCAATCCCCCCAGAGTCCAACCCCAGGGGAGAAAGACAGTACCATGCCATCCTCATAGGGCCTGAGCCCGGGGAAGAGAGACAGCACTATGCCATCCCCCTAGAGTCTAACCTCAGGGGAGAGAGAAAGTACCATTCCATCCCACTATGGGGAGAGAGACAGCACCAAGCAATTTCCTCTAGGGCTTGAGGCCAGGGAAGATAAAAAGCACCATGCCATCCTTCTATTGCCTAACTCCATGGAAGAGAGACAGCACCATGCCATCCCCTAGGACCTGAGACCAGGGGACAGAGATAGCAGCATGCCATCCCCCTAGAGCCTAACGTTAGGGTAGATAGACAGCACCATGCCATCCTCCTAGAGCCTAATCCCAGGGGAGAGAGACATCACCATGCCATCCCCGTGGGGCCTGAGCCCAGAAGAACAGAACCATGTGGCAGGATAGTTCTGAACATTTAGCTCCTCCGGCTGGGTTGCTGACCATTTATAACACAGTCTGGTAACTCTTCCAGCACAGACTTCTGGGTCCTGCTCAACAGCATGAGGCAGAAGCAGTGACAGGCCATGCTTAATCACCAAAGAGGAAACATTTATCCCGACTGCTTCCCGCAGATGTCATAAAATGTTTAACTACCAAACACCGGGGCCCCCCGCTCAGCCCCTTTCATCCCTCTCGCCATAAACTGACTGATTATAACAAGTTCATATGTATCAAATTCATCCTCGTGCTGAGAGCTAGGGAACGATGGCAGGAGCCGGAATCCTAAATATCATTTCTGGAGACACTAATTAAAAGTTGTCGTAACAAACATCGGAGTTCTCTCCCGCCCACAGACGTGCGAAGAATCCCCCTCCACGCGTGACTCAGACAAACACGGGAACCGTCTGCAGTAAATTGAATTCGCCGGCTAACAAAAAGAAAAAACACTTCAAAATGGAACCCAATTTCTGCTCTCATTCTGACTTCACTCTTATTACCCGACAAACAATCTGACCTGGAGAGGGAAGGAGAACTTCAGACTGCAAAATAGGGAAGCGATCAATGTATCTCACGTCAGGGGACGCGCACTCCTTATATCTTATGAGCTGCAGGGGGACCCGACTCCGCAGAATCCTTTCCTTCCGCCATTGGTAGAAAATGCAACTTCATCCCATTATTTGTTAAAGGAGAACTATGGGGTCAGGGCTCTTCCCCATAGCTCTCCTTAGGGTAACGGGAGGACACAAACTAGCGTCCTCCCGTCACCCTAAGCTCAGTATACCGCGAGCTGTAGCTGTATACTGAGACGCCGTAGCGGATCCCGACATCGATGTCGAGATCTGCCCAGCTGCGTGAGTGACAGCTGGCCCTGCCTATCTAGAGGCGGATCGGAGCGGGGAGGGGGGAATCCAGCCCCTCCCCTGTCACAGCAGAAAGCCGTGACAGGATCGAGAAGTGAGCGAACGCCGGTATGTGTTCGCTCACTTCCCGATCTACTAGCTAGAACTTTGAGGTGAGTGAAAAGCACTCACCTCATAGTTCTCCTTTAAGAGACATCATTTAAGGTAAGTGCTGACATTTACATTGGGGGGAGGGAAACATTTTTTTGCCTTTAATGTCACTTTTATTAAATAAAAAAATAATATATATATATAAAATATAATCAG